CGGCCGGTTTGTTACCTGCCGTGTCCGCAGGTTCGGCCAATCGCGGCTCCCACTGGCCGCGGCTCGCCGCTCCAGGCCAATGGGGGCTGTGGGAAGCAGCGCGGGTCGAGGGATGTGCTGGCCACGGCGTGTCGCAGCCCCCATTGGCCTGCAGCGGCAAACCGCGGCCAGTGGGAGCCACGATCGGCCGAACCTGCGGACACAGCAGGTAAACAAACCGGCCCGGCCCACCAGGATAAGCACCCTGGCGAGCCATGTGCCAAAAGTTTGCCGATCCCTGATGTAGCTACTGCCAGCTTCTGATTCAAAAGTGACAGGTGAGTTTCTCAGAGTGGACACTTTTCCCCCCAATAAGTTAGTCAGAATAAATTCATTCAGAAAAGACTGAACAAGAGTCGTTAACATTCACTCTGAGCAAAAGAATAGCTTTGATAACATCCAAACTCATTTGATTATTTTCTTCACTCCAAACACTCTTCATCACACTGAACTTTGGTTTCACTAGACTGTGTGTTCCCGGTAAATACACAGCACGTTTAACTCATGAGAGCAAAATATTCTGAATGGAAATTTAGTAGTTGTAAGAATCCCAAACATTCTGATGAATTAAGTGAAAAACTGGAACATTTCAGATACCTGAAAAGAAGTTCCTGGGACACTGGGACATCATATAAGAAAACAGGATTATCTCAATTTAACTGGACATATGTTTTCTTTAGCAACTGAGATGTGTATATGGCTGAAACTCCACTCCCTTTAGTGTGCTATAGTTTACACAAGCATTATTGGGTTGAAAGGCAGTGTGGTCTTGTAGTCTGAGTTCTTCCCTACATTGAATCTTAATTTCCTCCAAATTGCTTCACTTCCATCCTATTCCGCATCCCATCTGCTCAAATAACCAACGAATTAGTTAATACTTACATTAAAGTGTCCTCACAGGGTTGAGGGTTTAAACCTCAATGAGTTTAATGGAGGTGGGGCAGGGGAGTGCAGCCCTCCAAGGGCTGCTGTTTCAGGCTGTCTGCAGACTTAGGAAGACAATACTGCACTTGTTACATTCAGTAAAAATCTGATTCAGTCCAGAACCACTTGACTTACTAACCGGTGAGCTGAGTATAAGCTGATGGGTAAGCAAGACTTCACAGAAAGCATTTCAAAGATATTCATATTGAACTGACACAATTCCAAAGGCCCATCAGGGAGGCCATTTCTTTATCAACTGATAGCAGGGTTCTGCATGTTTCTGACAGAACTCAATGGCTATATGAATCAAAGAGTCTGAAACCCATGGGGAAGCCAATTCAGCAGTTCTAGTGACTAGAGCAATTCAATACAAACAGGGTTGCTTTTACTTACAATTATAATTAGGACCAATTCTACAAATGTTGCTCTAACTGACCCAAAGCTAATTATAGGAATGCAATGAGTTGTGGAGTTCCCTACCTTCTGGGCTATGGCTTCCTGTGAACTGACGAGAGTGCTGCATTCCCCATCATGGTATTCTTCTTTACATTCACGGCAGAACACGAACTGGAAAAAAACAACCCACAAGTCATAAAAACAAGTTAGGGATAAAACCAGCAGATTTCAGTCACAGAAGTAATAAAATAAAAATAAATTTGATTAATCAAATGAGCTTTTGCTGTGTGGTACATACAAAAATCACTGGATACTGATGGGTTGTTTTTCTTTCACAGTGCAAACCTGTTTATATAAAAAGGGGACAAGCTGAATTGAGTTTTTTTATAGGGTTTACTATTGGAAGTAGTCTATATGCAAAGTACTGAGTCAAACGCATTCCCTTATGGAAAACTATTTTAGTATTTAGTAAAAGATAACTTTCTACAGGTCACTTGAACCACTGCACAAAACATAATATTATATACTTTCACAGATTTCTATAGAATGGTTTAAAAACAAAAAACAAAACAAAAAAACCCACAACACTATAGAAAGACAATGATTCTCTATTCAGTTTTGTAGGCTGTTAGGGGAATTGCTATAGAATTTTATTAAATTTTTTAGAATTGCATTTGTTTCATCCCTGTTAAATTCTATAGGTCTTTTCATAAGAGTTCAGCCACACAGAATGGCCTTTACAGACTAGTAACACATTCATCTGTAGCATTGCTTGAGCTGTAACTGCTATCTAAAATGGTTCATATGCAACAAGCTTGTTACCATTTTTATACTCCAAAATGAAGATATCTGTCTTGACATGTGTCAAAATCTTTGACCCATCAATTCCACATTAATTTCTGTGTCCTTGTGGATAAGAGGAAAAGTCAATAATGTAAAATGGGTCTCTCATGCTATGCCAAAGCCATGCTGTCTTGACCCACCTTCAGACTCTGAAGGACCCCTCAGCAATTAGCTATTCTGACTGGCGTTATAAGCAAGACTGATAAAGCAGCCTTGATTTTTAGATACAGAGCTGCATTCAGATGTAATGAATAAGGATATCAGGGGAACCTGACACTGGGACATTTATCTGCCACAAATTCCATCTCCGCAATTCCATTTTGAACTCTTTTGAGCTTCTGTTGTCAATTTTATAAGTACTATAGAAAATCACATTTTATTATCATGCTGAAGAAACTACATTTTTTAGCAATGAAGCATTGTGAAAGAAAACAAGGCCAACAGGACTGATTCTATTCTTCAGAAGTAACATGGGAGTCATCATGGAGCTCTGGGGAAAAGGAATGGATTGAAATGAAATGCATGTTTTTGTTTTGTCCAGATCAAACAAAGTTATGGCCCTTTCTTGTCTGTCAGTTTTCTTTGGCTATCATGCCTATTATCTGTAATTTCTTATTTTTCCTTTATTCACCACTTATATTAATTCAGTTGTGCTTATTAGTAATCTGTTTAATGATGGAAGTATCTTTGCCAGGCACACTGTATGAGAGACTGCAGTATTGTTATTAATAAATGTTTTGATTATGGTGGTACCCAAAGGCCCCAATCAGGACTGGGCCTCAGTGTGCTGGGCATAAGAACAGCCATACTGGGTAGGATCAAAGGTCCATCTAGCCCAGTACCTGTCTTCCAACAGTGGCCAATACCAGGTGCCCCCAGAGGGAACGAACAGAACAAATAATCCTCAATTGATCCATTCCCTGTCCCCCATTCCCAGCTTTGGCATATAGAGGCTAGGGACACTATCCCTGCCCATCCTGGCATACACAAATAGGCACTCTGGGGATGCTTAATTGTATTTCCCACTCCCTTTTTCTTTTTACTTAACCTATTTCTGGCCTCTATATTTCTTTGTCCCTACACATATCTCTGTGAAAGGGTTTTGTGATTTATATTGCCAGACCCACTGCTTTGCCACCAAGGGCTGCAATTCCCTAGTCTCTCTCATCTCGCTCTAATTCAATTTTATGGAAGTTTCACAAATCTTAAAAAGACGCAAATTTCGCAAAAAATCCCCTCCCCCTCTCGCAACAATATTTGGCTTACCTCATATTGCAGTTTACATAATACTGATATCTGTTAGAACAATGCTATTTGCAAAACTATGTTGTATCACAATACTGTGTGGCCCCTTCCATGGTAATTTTATATGGCTGCAAGTAACTCCACAAATGATCTCATCCCATTGCTTTCTATAGTAATGAGTCTGATCTTTTGGTGAGACTGGAAATTCTTTTCACAACTTATTAGATAATGGCTGAGATGTAAAATCAGTTATATCATGGAAGAACACCCTATTGGTTGGTTTATCAGAATAAATATGCCTTCCCTGATACAAATGCATTAAGTACTCCCCTGTCACAGCATAGCATGAGCAATAAAAAAAAATGCACATCAGTTTAAACAAAAGAGTGGTTAATAAAATAGTTTCATTCATTTTAACTTTCAGATATGAAAAAAAGATTTGGAAATGAAATATGGCAAAAAATACCTCCAGTTAACCTGAATTTTATGGCTTCATTAATAATAATAATAGGAGTTATTTTGCCTCAGGAAAGAAAAAAGAATGTAAGTTGTTTAATTAGGATTTAGCACTTTTGCATAAATTTTATACTAAGAAGTGTTTAAAAATTATCATGTGACATAATTGCTAATTGAAATCACACTTTCTCCCCTTTATTTCTTTAAATAAAGAGAGCCTGACAATTTAATTTGATAATAAGTACCGCTCAATAAATTACTATTTCTTAGTATATTATTTATGTCTTAGAATTTGCTGTTGGCATTCACATGAAAGATACTAGTCTTGGAAAAAACAAAAACAAAAAAGAAAAATCCTAAAAGACTCAAATCTATCCTTTAAGTTTTTTGCACAACATGAGGACTAAGGGGGACATTTTCAGAAGCAAGTGAGGGCTTTAGGCACACAAATCTAATTGAAAACCAATAAGACTTGTGTGTGCCTAAATCTATTAGGTGCTTCTGAAAATCGCCTCTTCTCATAAAGAACTAGGAAGCTGCAGCTGAAAGAAACATACAGGAAGCTTCTCAAAATAATCAAAGATGGGCCTCAGCAAAAATCCTGGATCCAAACAACCTCAAACTTAAGAGGTGTTAAAAATCTGAACCTCAATTCAGACACAATTTTATATAGGATTCTTATCTTAATAATTGTTCAAAACAAAAGTGCACATCTAAACACCTGCACACTCTGTCATGTTCAAAGCCTGGGTCTGAAATTTGCAGCTTGATCCCATTTCTAAAAGTAATGTGTGGGCGGGGGGGAAGATGCTGGGGGCAAATTTTGCTCTTAGTTATACTGGGGCAACTGGGTCCTGACAGGGTTGCCTAGGGTAAGTGAGAACAGAATTTAGCCCAGTGTGTGAAAAAAACTTTCAACCTCTCCAGGCAAATCTAATTAGAAAAACTCAGCTCTTAAATACTAAGGTGATGGATACTTTAGAAATACAGTTTTGCCACTTCTCCATAATATTTTGAAGATCTACCATTTCCTGGACCAGGCACACAAAATTCTCATCTCCCTTCTTGACTACCTCCCCCTCCCTGGTCTCCATAATGCTGACATTATCCCGCTCTTGTATTTACAAAATAGAATTATTAAATTAATCTTTTTGCATGTTACTCTGACCACAGCACTCCCATTTTTGAATCCCTGTACTGGCTTCACATTCTCCAATGCTTCAAGACTTAGATTTTTATCATCACCTTCAAGTCCCCTTCCATTCTGGGCTTCTTACACTTACATCTTTGTGCCTCCTTCTTCCAGGCTGCCTCTTACACATGAAACACCTTCCCTGAATGAATTGGTAAGACCCATCATGCCCTTCAAATTTCTCCTTGAGATTTGCCTCTATCGGGAATGCCAGTAAGACATTAGACAATTAAAGATGGATTGGGGAAGTGGGAGGGGAGAATAGATGGGGTTAACTGGTTCTTTTATTAAAAATTATAAATGGTTAAAGGAAATGTGTATAAAAATCACATTTATTTGATTGCATCTCTCTTCCCTCACCCTCATCCAAGCCTGATTGTGTCTTTGGAAAATACTATAAAATAATAATATACGACTACTACTACAAATAATGTGTTTCCTTCAAAATAGTTTTACTGTCAAAGGTTTCTGCATGCACTGCCTGCTCTCTACTGTATGCTTGTATAATCACAGACACACAGCTTATGGATATTCAAGGATATCAATGTAAACTGTTATATGAAGAGATAAAATCACCTCCCTACTCACTATTCCCCTGTTTGTATCCAGTTCTGGTGTCCACAATTCAAGAAGAATGTTGATAAATTGGAGAAGATTTAGAGATGAACCAAAAGAATGATTCAAGTGACAGAAAACGTGTCTTATAGTGGTAGAGTAAAAGACTGCAATCAGTTTAGTTTATCAAAGAGTAGATTAAGGAGTAACTTAATCACAGTCTATAAGTACCTACATGTGAAACAGAAATGTAATGATAAACAGCTCTTCAGTCTAACAAAGGCGCCACAAAATCCACCTTGTTAAAACTAGTTGCAGCAAGACAAATTCAGACTAGAAACAAGATGCACATTTTTAATAGTGAAGGTAATTAACCATTGGAACAACGTATCAAGGGTTGTTGTAGAGTCTCCATCACTGAAAACTAGGTGAAAGACTAAGTGTTTTTTCAAAAAGATATGCTCTAGTTCAAACCGGAAATAATTCAGGGAAGTCCTATGGCCCATGGTACACAGGAGGACACAATAGATGATCACAATGATCCCTTCTGGCCTTATAGTCTATTTGAATACATCCAAAGATCACATTAGCCTGTTTTGCTACAGCACCACATGGGGAGCTCATGTGCAGTTGCTCATCCACTATGACCTTTAAATCTTTTTCAGATACACCGTTTTCCAGAATACAGTCCCCCATGTTGTAGACATGGCTTGCATTCTTTGTTCCTAGAAGGAAAACTTTGCATTTGGTTGAATTGTTTGAATGGACATGATTGTTTATGACTCACCCTGACCTCATCACTATGTACCCCTTTCCCAATCTTTATGTAAACCGTACATTTTATCAGCAGTGATTTTATATTTACTTCTATATCACTGAT